CTGCGCTAATTTTGTCCTAGTTAATTACCGACAAACACAGTACATCAAGTTCACGAGAGGAGCTAGGTCGTTCATCATGTTCACTTCTAACCTAGATACGTACCTAGAGCATACAGAAATGTTCGTTCCGTTTAAGGTAACAATCCGTTCCTCGTGAACAACATCTTGGCTAAGTTCAGTCTCAAGCCGCTCATTTCACAATCGCTATCAAACTCGGCCAGCATTCGCTCCGTCAGCTTGGTGTTCATTGTTACACGCAGTATTTCGCCTGTAACTTGGAGGATGATACTCACGAAACATCCTTATATAGCGAGCCGGAATAATCGAGTTCCCAGAGGCTTCCATTACCGCTTCTGTCTCGATAGTCACAAAAGCCCACTTCAAAGGTAAGCAACAAGTACATAGATCACAGACAACATGTAAATTGGGCGGTAGTTGCCAATATCGCCTAGATCCCCTTCTTATACAACAACACAAACTCCTAGTTTTGACGATGAGAGCACTTTGCTTTGTAGCACGTAGCGCATGAAGAGCCTTGCCAGCGTTCTGACGATGACTGATGGATCGCTCTCCAGATGCTCTGGTTTAATCCTATTAAGACTGGGTATCGTACATTTCTTCATCGACGTGATCACATGTCAGATTTCAGGAGGGACAACTAAAGGAACGACATATGAACGACATATCCATCCTGCCCAAGGTGGTAAGTGGGCGGGTAGGCGAGGCTATCGAAGAGATCCTTGTGAGAGTCGTATGGAGTAACTGTTCCTTCAGCACGACCAAGGGAAGTTATCTTGGTCATGTAATTGGCAAGGCTTCGACGGGCTTTTTGAATGCTCCTCCCAGTCTCCGTGACTTTGGTCAGATCTGCTGCTCTTCTCTCTTTCAAATTTTCTTTTATCACTTCTCGGAGTAGCTTCGCAAGTTCGCAGCTCGTGCAATGCCGTGCCTCTCCACGCACTGAAGAACAGAATCTGGTGCGCAAGATGTCTTCCGACCCATTAGAACATCGGAGCAACAGGGACGGCAGTCACGCTAATCTTTCGATTGGAGGTCACATTATATATTTAACTATGAGACTGTCTCTAACCCGGTCACTCCTGAGTCTATAGCAATATAGCTCCTTTAACTGCGAGATGCGATGGTGTGGATCGACGTGTGACTGTCCATCACTCTGTTCATTTCATTACCATCGGTAATTTTTGAAATGTAGCGTTTTGACTTTCATTTGGGGACAATCTTGGCGTTGAAAAAGAAAGTGTGATCCTCTCTGCACTACTTTTCCAGTTCCATACAAAACACTTGCATCTCCTCTTCTTCGCAGCTTCATGCTCGTGCATAGGCAAAGGAGCTAGAGCTTGGGATGAGCCACCCCTTCTCAACCACAAACACCTATTTGGACTGGACACAGTCACGATAGTTTTGGGTTATCCAGATTATAGAAAATGAGGGAGAAGGTAGAAAATAGTGCGATGGAGGCGAAGAAAGCACGCGAATCAATGCTTACAAAGTGATAAAAGGCTTCAAAAAAGTTCTTAAAAATGGGTTAGACAGAATAAGACCAAAAAAAAA